GGAAACAGATAGTGGGTGGATGTTCTTAAAATCACAACCTGTTTGATGTAGGGTTGGGGCCTTAGGGAGGGGTGGTGGAGGGGAATGGGGGGGATTTTTTTTTCAGTTAAAAATGAAACTTACCTTGTCAATACTAAAAATATCCACTTTACTGTCTATCACAGGGGCATGGCAGAGCCAAGCACCCTTTTAGAACTGTGCTGTTTGGATTTGGCCATGACACAGCACATTACATTACCTGAACACCACACCAGGGTCTCTCTGTGATAGTCAAGGAGAGCTTTCCATTTCAGTAGTTGCTCAGATTTGCCACAAATGAGTGTGTATGTGTCTGGGGAAGGAGAGAGGAGAATGGCAAAGAAATGGGGACAGTCTTGGAATCAATGATAAAATCCACACATATTAATTACTTGTCACCTGAAGAATATACAGGTGGCGACAATAATCATGGTGGCGGTGCTGATAACAGGTAATGTTTACTGGGCACAATCCATGTGTTAGACACTCTGTTAAGCCTTTTCATAAATTTCTTTTTAAGCTTCACAACCACCCATAAGGCAGCTACTAGAATCATGTCCATTTTAAAGATGAGGAAACTGAGTCTTCAACAGTCCAAAGTCACATAGCTAATAAATTGAACAGAGAATCAGGGATGTTGTTGTTGGAGAAATCTAGGGTGGAATACATGACCAGGGGGCCTCTGATATCATCCCCTCAATTTAAAGCAAAGGTGAAGGGTTATGACTGAAATGACTCTGCTGATGAGTGGGGGAGTTGCAGGTAGGAGCTGGGAGCCCGAGGGTCAGGAGAAAGGCAAGTGTCGTGTTTGGGGAGAAAATGGTACCCCCTCCAGTATTTTCAGTTTCACTGGGTTATGAAGGAACAGAGAGCCAGTGACCTCTGGAAATAGCTGACTAACATCAGGTTAATTTGGGATTCCTATTGGCAGGACCTAAAAGAAAATCTTCCCGTCCTCCCTCACTTTCTTATTGTATGCTGTCTTCTTTTTGCCTTAAGGCAAAACTGGTCCCCTGGTCTGAAACTGTCCAGAACTCATTTCATTTCAAGTAAGAACCAAGCTGATTTGTCTCCACAAGGCACACTGCTGACAGTCTTCCCTTCTTGAAACACATAACATTCCCTTCTCAGAAATGTGCCATAGCTCCCTAGTACCTGTAGATTAAAAGCCAACCTCCTCCACATCCACCCCCAAGTCTGGCATCATCTCTTGGCATAACCTTCCCACATCCCCAGATTACACATGGCTCCTAGGACCCAGGACACAGTTTTCCCTGCATTAGGGATACCCTTTGTCTTCTTGTCTTGGGCTGCACACACTTCACCTGCCAATTCAATAGTTTCATTCACCCCCTCTGCCTTACCTGTTGATTGCCAATTTATTCATGGCAGCCATGTGCCAATTAAGCATACATGACTGCCCCTTCCTGGTAGGTTTGGGTGGTCACATGGCACAGTTCTGATAGATGAGCTAGGGACAGAAGTCCCTAAGACAGACTGAGAGGGGTGGCCATTTAAAAACATAATAGTAAAGCCATACAAGATAAGTGGTATTTGTGCCTCACTCATCCTACTTTCTTTTTCCTGGAATGCAGATGTGAGACCTGGCAATGCTGCAGCCACCTTCCCACCATGAGATGATAGACTCAGGGTCAAAGACCTATACTCTTAAGGATGGTAGAGTACAAAGAGTCTGTGTCCCCAGTGAGGCATCACCCCACTCACCCTTCCTGCTGTGTGACACGAATAAGCCCCCATCTGGTTAAGTCACCCGACAGGATTTCTGTTGCTAACAGCTGAATGCAATGATATCCAACACACCTCCAGGCATTGTTCTTCCTTATTCATGGGTCAGTTTAGATGCTACCCCCTCCAGGCAATTCTCCAAACACAGTAATTAGGCCCTTCCTTGTGCTTCCACAGTAGCTACTTTTCCAAATTACAGTACTTATTTATGGCCTGCTGATCTGCTCAAGTTCCTAGGGGATAAAGGGTCTCTATCCTGCCAATATCTCCATAATGCCTGCAGTGTTTTGCATTGAGGTTAGGGGGCTCTGTCTCACCAGTTTATCCACAATGTCTGGAACAGTGCATTGGGGCATGGAGAGCACATGTTCTGGGGTCTGGCAGTCTGCTTACTAGCTGTGTGGTCTTGGGCAAGTTAGAGAACCTCTCTGTGTCTCCACTTCTTCATCTATGAAAAGGAGAGAATGAGAGTACTTACCTCACAGGGTTGTTACAAAGACAAAAGAGTTTAATCATAAGCACTGAGAATGGTTCCTGGCATATAAAAGTGCTTTATGATTGCAGGCTCTTATTGTGTGATGACTATTATAGTTGCTGAATGAACAAATAAATTGACACATAGCTAAATAAATGAAGAAATGAAACCCAGAAAGATTCCTGAGTTTAGACCTCAGGGTGATGGTCACTGTTCTTCTCTCTTGCCTGCACCTGATGACGCTTTACTTTTTCATTCTGAGGGCTTCCCTTATCCAGGGGCTGCTATAATGGAGTGTTTAAGGCTAAGAAGTAAGGCCTGGCTTGGAACACTGACTTTGTTTTTTGCTGTATGGCTGTGTGCAAGTTTCTTCACCTCTCTAAGCCTCAGTTTCTTCAACTGTAAACTGGGGATAATAACAGTGCTTATTTCATAGGGTCATGATGAGGATTAAATGATAAATCATGTAAAATATACAGTATTGTGCCTAGCATCCCGAAACAGTAAATGTTAGCAACTATTAAGCATAGTCATTATTCTTCCTGTCAAGTGCATGGCATTCCACCCAATCACACAGCCCTATTTGGATGAGACCCTTGGGGTGGGGTCACCTTTCAGCATTTCAGGATACACTGCCTTTGCATCAGGAGAATGCCCTTCTTAAATGCCAACGCACAGCTGTGTCCTTTGGTCTTTTCTTTTAAATGAGGATTAATTAATAGATCTATTTTACCCTAAAAACCATGGCCTCTGAATTTTCCCCTAAAAGCTGTTAACTTTGGGGGGATCCTTAGTTCACATCACAGCTGGCCAGGAGATGTCACAGGAACAATCAAGTAGCAGAGCATTTCAACACCAACCAAATTCCCACAGATCACAGATCTAGTTTTGTCAGTGACACGTTTCAATCACGTTTCACTTGTAGCTTTTGCCCCGCTCTGCCCTTAAAAGATGTATATATAGCTTTCTATAACTTTTCCTTTCAACTTATATCAAACCTTTATGTTAGTCCCATTCAAAAACTTGATAGGCTCCATTCACGTATTTTTATTATTAAACATGCCATTTTTACAAGATATTTACTCCACTTGGTTTTTATCCAAATGCTTTTAGACATGACTGCCCTGGGACTGAACCACTTAAACTCAGTGCCCTCATAAACAGAAAATCACCTTTTGATTGAAATCTTCAAGAGCTCTCAGACCCTCACCTCTGTCACTTCAACAGGCATTAATTTCTGCTCTGCATAAAGGCGTTTGAGTGTATGCGGGGTGTTTAAAGAGGGTAATTGTGGGAGGTCTGAGCCACTGAGGGATGAAGTGGAGGGCTTCTTGCCCCCTGAAACCTGCCCAGCAGGGCCTGCCTCAGCCCCAGGAGGCTGCGACCTCAGAGGGAGAAGGGGATCACTGGGGATCAGGTGGGGGAGAACTCTGGGGCCTGCAGAGACTTAGTGATTCCCCAGGCCCATGCCGGGCAGCGCCTCTTTCAACGGGGAGGAGGCCAGGGAAAGCCATTATTCCCCCACCTCCTTCCTCCCCACCTCCCGGACAAACAAAAGGCCATCGCGAAACAGCTGAATAGAGACCCCACTGGCTCTGAAGCCGATCAATCAGGTGGAAAGCTGAGCAAATCACAACTTGGGTTCCCCGTCAAGTTTTCTCCCCGGCTCTACGAGCCACCCTCCGCCTCCACCCCCGAGCTCCGCACAGCTAAGAGGCCAAGGAGACCGTCCTGTGATGCTCTCTGGTTTCCAACTTTCCGCTCATCTTAGTCTCCGCAGCCTCCTTCCTGCAAAGCGGCTGGGAAAAGGGCAAGTTTGCAAAGGCGAGGATACCAAGTCCTGGGGAAGCCACAAAGAAGCTGCAACACCAACAAAGATTAACCTCTCGTGGGGCGGACGGAAAGCGCCAGCTGCCGTTCCGGGGGCGAACGTGGGCTTGGGCAGGCAGGGGCGGCCGCTGGGGCCGGGGTCCCGCACGCCCCTCCCCGCGCGGGCTCCCGGCACCTGAGCGGGGCGTGGGGACAGCGCCGCGCTCCGGCCCTGCCCCCGGCAGGTAGCTCGGGCGGCCGCCCGCGCGCGCGCCCGCCGCCTGCAGCCACCGGGCGCGACGAGAGGAGAGGCAGCCTCAGCCCAGGGCGTCATGCTTCCTGCCACCACATTACGGCGAATCGTCACCAGGAGAGGGGAGAGCGGGGGAGGGAGGGGAGCACACACACGTAGCCCCCCGCCTGCCCAAACCCGCGGGGACGGGGCCACGTCCCGGTGGAGTCCCCGCGGGACCTGCCCCGTTTGCACAAAAGCGCCGCAGTTTGGCCAAGAAGGGAGGGAGACGGCCACGAAATAAATAAATAAAAACAGACTCGGGTCTACGTAACGCCCTGTCGAAAGCGGACGCCATATTTTTTTGTGGCTTATGTCGACATAGGGAAACGTAGACATGTTTTTCCTCCTCCTCCTCCTCCTCCTCGGTCTGGCTCCCATTTATCCAAACTTGTCATCAAAACTCCTTAAAAAAAAAAAAACTCCCCCCTCTGTAACCTCTAATTTCTTCCCACCGGCAAAAAGAGCCTGACCCCCCTTCCGCGCCCCCCCATTCCAATCACAAACCCGGCCAAGTCCCATTAACAACACATTTTCGGGAGCGGCGGCGGCGGCAGCGGCGGTGGGAAAGTTGGGCTGGAGTGGCCGGCGCCCGGCGTACGGGGCTCGGGGCTGGCGGCGCGGGGCGGGGGTGCTCCGCGCCGGGGCGAAGTTTCTTACCTGCGCGGGGCTGGGAACGCGGGGACCCGGGCTGAAGACGCGGAGACGCGGCACGGGCGTTCCAAAATGGAACTCTGCTGGCTCCCCCCACCCAGTCCCCACTCCCCACCGGGCGCCCGGCTGGGGCTCCGTGGGAAAGAGGGGGAAAGCCAGCCTGCCAGACAGACAGAAAAAGCCCCTGAACGGAGAACAGTGGCCAAATTTTTTAAAAGAAAAAAAAAAAAGAAGGAAAAAAAAAGGGGAAAAAAAATGTCTCGATCAGTGGGGAATCTACGCCAAAACCCACATGATCTGTAACGTCAGCATGCGTATTTGCATACGATACCACTACCCGAGCTGCCACCCGGACTCGGGTTCCGCAGAAAGTTACAAAGTGAAATTCAGCCCCCTCCGGAGACGCCGGCGAAATGTCATTTTCAGGCGGCAGCTGCGGGGGAGGTTAAGCCTAAAGGTGCTGGTTACTAGCCAGGGTTGCGGGGTGGGTAGTAAATTAACTTAAAAGTCTGAGCCCTGTAACGGACTCGGTGGAATTTCTGCGAGGGGAAGGAGGGGTCGGCGCGAGCGAGATCACTGAATATTAAGCACGACTCAGGCCGGCAGCCGCGGCCGAACCCTCTCGATGCAATACCCATTTTCTTTATGAAAAGTTCAAGGTGTCACTGATGAGCTCAACAAACTGTTGATCCTGACCACGTGGAGTGGCGAATGAGGAACTGCGCGGCCCGGCTGCTCGCTGGTTGCCTGCGGGACTCCGGACCCCGCGACCCTCCCGCAGCGCGCGGGTGGGGCTGCTGCGCGCCCAGGGCGCTGCCTGCGCTTTCCCTGGTCCTTGGGCTCAGGGAAATAATAACAACTAAAAAGAAAATTTTTAAGCGATATACAATTTACTCCTGGAGTAGTAATGAGAGAGCTTGGAGTATGGAGAGTTAATGCCCCCACTTATATAACGACTTGAAATTAGATGACTTTTGCTGAAGAGATGCCGAGATTTCCGCTTGCGCCAGGTCTGAGGTTGGTTGAAAATCCTCAAACTTTTTTCCTTAAGAGCCAATAAACAAACAGACGCCCCGGGAGCTGACTTAAACTCTTGTCGGGCCGGCGTTGGCTGGGATTCTCAGACTCGGAGAAATGCACACCCCTGCGGCGTTCGCAGGGAAGTCCCTCAGAAGCAAGGCGGGTCACTTTCGGAAATGGGACTCCGCGGTTCCCAGAGGGAGGGCCCCCTCCGGCGTCTTAGAGTAAAGACGGGCGGGGGAATCTCTCTGCCCTTCGCTTGCGGCCGCGGTAACCGTGAACTTGGGTTCTGGGCGCGGCGCTCCAGTAACAGCGCTCGGCTAGGGAGCTCTAAAGAATTCCGGATCCAGAGGACGCTTCGGAATCTCACCCGGCAACCTGTCGGCGCCGTGCATTCCTGCGCAGTGGACCCATTTCCCCTCCGCAGGCGTTTCGACGAGTCAGCATCTCCCAGTTGTGAGCTGGGCGCAAGCGCGCAGGAGCAGAGCCAGGCGAGGGGATGCTGTCTGGGGTCTACTTTTGACACAGTGAGCGCAGCAGCGAAACAAAGGGAGCTTGGAGCTGGGAGGCTCTGCGGAGTCCCCGCCCGCCCTGAGTATTAGTAGGCGAGGAGCGTCGGGGCTTCCCAGCCAGTCGCTGCTCCCAGGAATTAGAACGAACTCTAGTGGCGGTTTCTGACTCGGTTCTGAGCTTGAGGGCAGCAACAGGTGGCGGTGTGCGGCAGAGTGGCCGCGGCGAGGACGCGGATTGGAGTGGGGACAGCTGGCCTTGGGGCCTGACCGCGTAGTCAACATACTGGGTGACCTTTCGAAATTTTCGTTTCCTAGGCTGTGGAAAAGAAAATAGCTAAGAGGTTTTTTTGGGGTCTCCCCTAGGGCTTTTCTCTAACACAATCCCTTGGGTTTCCAGAAATTTTTACAGTGAAAATTAAAATAGCTCATATGCAAAGCTTTCATACTGGCCCGCACCTGTTTGGTTATTACTGATGTAAGGTGAGTTGGTTGGTTTGATAAAAGACGCGTAAAACGAAGTCCTGGCCAGGAAGAGGGGGTCTCCTGTGCAATTCTCGGAGACCTGAAAGGTTAACTGACTGACCCGGCTCTGAAAGGACGCTAAGAACTTCCTTGATGACTGTGGCTCAGGTTGTCTCTCACCTTTCTCAAACTCATTTGGTATCTTATCCTAATCTATTTATGACCAAATTAGAATTTAGGGATGCTGGTTTTTCCCTTCCCTAAAGGGTGTGCCAGAATAGTAAAAGAAAAAAGAAAAAATACTCTACCAACTTTAGTATTTTTATGTTGCCTACTCTTTCTTGACTCTTCCAGGTCTTATTCTTATTTGCTCTTGACTCTTCCAGGTCATTCCACTGCTACACAGCCCCAACCCCTTTGAAAACAGGTATGGCTGTTTCTGTGGATTTATGTAAACCTTAAGGAAGCTGTTCCCGTTTTGAGGCTGTCGTCCCTCCTCTTGATGGTCAGCCACTTAAGGATGGTTGTCTATTACCTGAGTTTCCTCTGCGCCTGCCTCTTTACCACCTGCTCTGGCTGGGTGAGAGTTGACTCGGGTGGGAAGGGTCAGGGTGGAGCCAAGCAAGGCAGTCCTCTGGGTTGTTCCCTGAGTCCCCATGTCTTCAGGGCACTCCTCCGATCACCATGTGCTACAGTGTCTAAAAAGTTTTCAAAGTTTAGCATGGACTGAACTCTCACTATATAAACAAATAGCAGGGAATAAAACATGATTTCAGTTTGGTTTATGTGTTGGTGAACGAGGCAGACCCTTAACCTGATACGATTCAGGAGCTTTGAATTCAGTAATTATAATGGTAATGTTTATTGAGGGCTTTGTATGTATATGCCAGGTGCTGCTTAGTCATTACAGCAACCCTATCAGGTGTCTCGAAATGCTTTGTTTCAGGTCCTCTTTAAACTGTTAAAATTATTGAGGACCCCAGATAGCTTTTGTGTAAGTGAATTATGTACATGTTGATATTTGCCACATTAGAAATTAACTTAAAACACAGGAATTTACAAACACACCTTGCATTAGCCATCAGAGCAATGACACCATTACCTGTCACCCATGCATGGAAAATGACTGTGAGAGAATGGGAGTGGAAAGGTCAAGTAATATTGTGGCCCCATTATGAAAGTAGTTTTGACCTTGAGGATCTCTTGAAAGGGTCTTGGAGACCTCTAGGTTCCATGGTCACAATTTGAGAGCCACCATTAAGGTAAGTTTTATTATTATTCCCATTTTTACAGATGAAGACTCCAATGCTCAGAGAAATGTAGTAACATGCCCAGGGCAGATAGAGGGAACAAGGATTTAAACCTGGTTCATTAAAGGCCAGAGCCAGAGCTCTAAATGATCTTATAATCCTACCTTTTCTTAACCTAATTTCCACCTCCAGCCTAGAATAGCCTCTAGGGCTTCCCAAGACTACCCTTACTAACAGCAACCATGTTTTGTGGTCCTACGAAGTGCCAGGCACCATGTCAGCACTTCCTATGCCTTATCTTGTCAAATCCTTACAACCACCTACCCTGAGAGTATTGTTAGCCTCATGTTATAGATGATAAAAATGGAATTCAGAGAGGTTAAGGAGCCTCTCCAGACTCAGCTTGCCAGAAAATAGTAGAACCTGGATTCAGCTCTTTGTCTAGTGGCTTCAAAATCAAGGCAGGACAAAAGTCCATCATGGTGATTTGTAGAGGCCTAGTGGGGAGAAAGCAGCTTCTGTCATAACTTGGTGCGAATGAGGTCTGGCTGGGAGATATTGAAAATTTAGAAATGGCAGAAGAAGAAATAAAAAACAGCATTACCCTTGAGGAGTCCCTAATCAAATGATAACAAATCCACCCTGGCTTATAAACTCAGAGGAAATGTGGCAGGAGCAGCAAAGACTCAGAATTGAGATGCGAATCGCAGGTCACCTCTTTCAGCTCTCTGATCCCTGCACGCACAGGCTAGATAAGTATTTTTTTAACAAATGAAAAAAGAAAACAAAATACAGAGAAGCAAGCAAGAAAGAGAAAATGATTACCAGCTGTCCAACCAGGCACTGGTTATAATATTGGTATATATCCTTCTATGTGTTACATTTATTTAAATTTTCCATTATAATACTCTTAAGAAAAATGAAAACTATCAAATATCAATTTATCAACTACAGCATGGAACAGCCTACTGAAATGACTTATGGAAAAATGAGAGCGTGTGACCTTTTGGAACACTTAGATTGCTTTTGTGAATACCTGCAAAGGGGAAGGACAAAAGGAAACATGCTAGGCAGATGCTGTTTCCTTCCACGTCTGTCTGCATCTTCTTACCCTGTGGTTTGATATAAAGTGTGGTGCCTTGAGAGAAATCCTATGGCAGTGGTAGGATCAGAGCTGGGACTTAATGTTTGAAGTTTATAGCAGGAGCTTGACTTAGTTGCAACTTGAACCTGCTTGGTATGTAGGATAGAAAGTTTATGAAATGGAGAAAACTCAGATCTTATTTGTTTCACAGTCTGGTTTGATCCTTTATCATCTCTGTAAGGTAAGCACAGTGGGTACTATTATCCCCATTTTACAGAGGAGGTTACTAAAGCTTATGGAGGTTACTGTAATTATATACGGTATACGGTAGTTTTCAAGTTCACAGACTAAATTCAGAACCATAATTTAAATCCAGGTCTTGTAATTGCAAGGCCAATGCTATTTCTATGCCCCTTCATTTGCTGTTGTTCCTGAAGAGGACTAAATGTGGCCCCTAAAAGACATTGTCCCTCTTTTTTACAAAATCCTGGAGAATTATCACCTGACACATTTTTTTATCTTATTTCTCTCTTTTATTTGCACTTAGTTATTTATTTGTTGTCTTCCTACTGGAATGTAAGGTTCCAGCAGCAGGTACTTTTGTTTTGTTCACTGCTGTATCTCCCTGCTTAAATCTGCCTGGTGTATCATAGGTACCCAATAAGTGATCGCTGAATAAATGAATGAATGAAGTACACAGCTTGTCAGGGCACATCCAGTAATAGGGAGCCAGTGCTGTTCAAGAGCATACACTATTTCTGTTCACCTAGAATGATCTTGACTAAGAGTTTCATTTCCTATGGTCAAGGCTTCTACCTAAATGGTGCACGGCCTTTATGGCTGGTGGGGAAGTTCATGGCCAGTCAGTCCTCATCTGGAGTCCCAGCATGAGAAATGTTAGCTCTGCATTGGCCCTTGGGGATCTGTTCCTCTCATCAGCTCATTTTACAGGTGGGAAAATGGAGGCTCTCAATTGGTGGCAATGCTAAGACTAGAAACCAAGTCTCTTGACTTCTGGCTTGTATTAATTCTCCTGCAGGTCTGCTTATAAAAAACAAATCCTCAAGCCTGCCAGAGAGAAACAGAACTGTGTCTTCAGTCAGTATACAAAGGCACTAAGAAAGAGCTGCACAGCCAGATATTGTGGGGAGGAAAGAGTCTGCACCTGTTGCCTGGGCATGGTAGAGAGCAGATGGCAAGACATGGTCGTACAAGCCCATGCCTGTGAAATGGGGATGATAATGCCTGCTGGCTTTCTTCATAAGATTTTTGTAGCCTCCAATGAGACAACATGTGCCAATGTGCTTCTTTATTCTTTATAGTGAGCTTATATATGCACGTGATGTGTGCACTCATCTAGTTAGTTATGTGCTGGCTATAGCATAGAGGCCCTGGGGTTTGAATTCTAGCTCCAGTGTTCATTTAACCTCTCCAAACTTTAGTATCCCTATCTATGAATACCAAATGTGGGTAATAATTTTACCCAGCTCCCAGGGATGTTGAGATAATTCATGTAAAGCATTGAGCTTTAGTGCTTGAGCCACAATGAGTGCTCAGTAAATTTTACCTATTATTATCATTTCTCATATGAAAATAATACCAATTCATTGTTGAAAATTTTGAAAATTCACTTAGACAAAAGTTATCTGTTGAAAATATATATTGCATAAGCAAAAATAAATATATTAGATAAATGGATTGACAGATGTCACTCAATGTTACCACCCAGAAGACAGCACTGTGAAAATTTTGCTGTATATGTGTGCCTACATTAATTTTTTTTAATTGTCTACTTTGTTTCACACACTGTTCTAGGGCCTGGATTACAAAACTTATATTAGACCTAGATAATAAGTAAATATATAATCTATTAGGTGGTGATAAATTCCATGAACATGAATTTATCCTTTGCCATAGATCATCTTATTGAATTATCACAACAATCCATCTTTTTTTATTAAGGTATCATTGAT